CTCTCGTTTGGGTGCAAAAGAGATCAACAGGCAGAAAAAAAAAAAATCACCACCACCACCACCAAAAAAAATCTACCACCTTCCAGCTCTCGTGCTGCAGCGAATGCTGCATCCATCACTGTAATCTATATTTAATAGCTCTGAAGGAATAGCCCTTTCCGACTGCAAAGTCCTCTGACTATAGGTTTCCTCTGGGAATGAAGGACATGGGGAGCCATCTCCTTTTTGCCACAGTGGTCTGTCCTTCCCTGGGCTAACAGGAGCTCAGGGTCTTTACTGAGCCCCTGCTAGAAGGGGAAGGCCAACAGTTGGGTATGCCCCATTCATGCTCCTTGGAAAGCCTTCAGTTGAGCAGGATGAGTCCCATGGTGGAAGTCTTTGATCCATGCTGTAGGAAGCAATATCATGTCCTCCCTTTGGAGGGGTGGGGGCTCTTTTCAAATTTTCCATTTTTATACACAACTTCACCACCTGAGATGAGAAAAATCATTTCTGTCGGCCATGGAAAAGAACTGCACTGTCAGCACATTTTCGTCTAGATGGCTCATCCAAGGGCATACATTTATTTGCCAGGGTGCTTTTTCACTGGAGTGTTAAAATACTGTATTAATTGGGGAACTGAATACCTCTCTGGCACTGTTTAAGCAACATCTCCTTACCTGAAACATCACATGCTTCTCTAAGGCTCATTAAGCAAAACGAACCTCTCTTTGCCGATCCCCGAGAAAATGATGCTATCACCGAGCCTGCAGCTCGCCAGCTCAGATCCCGCTTGCAAGAGCATTGCTGGGGATTGGTCTCACCCACCATGAGTAATGATCGTAAAATGACATTGAAATGCCACCCGATCATAAAACGACACTGAAACGTCACCCCAGTTCCCTTTTCCCCACACCACCTTCAGCTGCACATCCCAGAGAAATGAACCCTGCTCGGCTAGTGCAGGAAAAGAGGGGAATTGGAGTTTGAAAATGATATCACTCATTAATTTTCCTGTCTGGAGACAACTTCTTCATGCCAGGTAGGGGTTTTTTAAGCAACATCACTGTTTCGTTTCAAATCTCTCTTAAACGACTTCTGAGTCACCACGATAAATACTCCCCGTGCTTTCTTTCTGCTTCAGATCCCTTATAACTGCTGATGGATAAATTGCTTGAGTTACCCGAGATAAATCATGCAGGATAGCCAAATCTGTAATTAAAATGTCTCTCAACCCTTCCATTAACTCTGACAGTGGGACCAGATGCGTTGCGGCTGCAGGGAATAACCTGCTTGGCTCCAAAAAATGGGTCCTGAGAGGGAGAAACTGGCTCTGAAAGTGCCAACTCTACACAGTTCCCTTGGGAATACCATGGCACTCTTCATCCCCCATCAAAAGGATTTGAGTACCAGCATCGATGGCACAAGTGGAGAGTTTTTCATGGCCTTTTGTTGCTAAAAAGCAGCTTTTGAGGGTGCCAGTGCTTCACATTGGCTCTGACTTGCCCATGGAAAGCAAATTCCCCAAGCAGAGCTGGCACAGAGATGGGTAGTTTCGCCATCCCAGTTGTTGCACTGGGAGGAAACAAAGGGAAATAAATGAAAAACTAGTTGCTCACAATGAATCCTGGATTTTCAGACCAATTAAAATCTTTTTTGGCTGTTGCTTCCCAGAAAAAGCTACAAGCAGAGGTAGAAAGTGATTTTAAAATTTCCTCTCCCTAAGACAAGCTCCCCCCTAAGGCTCACAGCCCTGGCTTCGGGGCTCTGATCCTCGCCTTCATCAGCTGTGTGGCAGGAAGATCCAGCTCCAGGGCTGTTTCTGGACTCTGCTTTCCCCAGGAAAGTCAGATATTACATTTGCAATGGCCTTAAAATCAAAAAGCAGTTCAGACATTTTGCTCTGAGCTGAATTTTCATCTGAATTTGGGTCTGGCCCGGCAATTTTGAGGCCAAGAATTGGGTATTTGGGGGCAGTGTAGGAGCCGGATCCTGCTCATCCTGATGAAAGGCACATCACCCCACAGAAACAGCCCATACAGAAAATGGTGCTTCTTGCAAATCCTTCATCTCTGGAAAACAACACTGACCCCCACTGCAGGGCAGGGGCACCCATGGGTGCTGGGCAGCTCTTGGGTCCAACCTACCTAGAAGGGTTTTCAGAGCATCCCTGCTGCCTGCAGGGACATGGCCCCATCCATGAACCGGGGCAGGATAAGGGGACAACAGGAACAGGCAGCAATGCTGCCCCAGCACTGCAGGCGTCGTCCCATCTCATCCCCTCCCCTCATCTCAACCCCTCCCCTCCCACCATCTCAACCCCTCCCCTCCCACCATCTCAACCCCTCCCCTCCCACCATCCAGCCCACGCAGTCCTCGGGGGGAGGCAGCAACAAGGCTCAGCATCTCTATCCTCCCCTCCCTCCGGAATTAGGTCAATAGAAGAAGCAGGAGCCCTTTATTTATTATTGATGGAGAGAATCAAGCCGTTATCGATCAGCACTGGGGAGAGACTCGCCCCGGTGCTTTCTGAAATAACCTGCCAAATGCGATTTTTTTGTTGTTTTTTACCCATGGAGGGGGTTTGGATGAACTCGCAGCCTTGCCTGCTCCCAGGCGGGATGACAGCAAACACAAGTGAGCCCCGGCAGCTGAGCTGCTGCCAGCTCTCACTGCTGGGTCCTTTGCACTCTGCAACCCTGTTAAATCCCGCCTTCCTGGCTGTCAGGTTCACCGTTATCTGGGAGCAGGTGCAGAAGGATGTTGGGGTTTTTGGGGAATGGAAAAACCCCGCAGGACCGCAGCATTGTGGCTGACCAGCCTCGTCCCTGCCCAGGTCTCATCCATAGCACCCATAAGGAGACCTCGAAGAGGATGGCTAGTTTCCTCCCCCAAAAAGATCCATCAGCAGGATGGCACTCTGGGGGACAAGAGGGACAACGAAGTTCCTCCTGGGGTGCTCTATCCCATGCCAAAGCATCCTCCTGGTGCCAGCAGGGAGCAGCTCAGCCCCAAGCAGAAGCTCACAGTGAGGAACAGCTCATCAGTCTGAGCCACCTAAGCAGTATTTCTCCCTTGCCACTCTCAAGATCTCCTTTCCTTGCATGGGCCAGCCTGCACTTTGCCAAGAAAACCTCAAATCTGCCCAAAGAAATGTCCCAGAAAGTTCCCAGCTGGAGGAGACATCCCCAGGGATGCTGACATCTTCTCAGGACCTTTAAAGGTGTCCTGGATGTGGGGACAACTCATCCTGCTGCCCACCAAGGAGCTGGAGGTGGTTAATGGCTTCATTCCACCAGCTCAGCGTCTGGGTGCTAAATAATATTAATGGTACCTCCTGGCACCTCATTAAAAATTGCGCCGGTGCTTAATTCAGGCCGTAGATCAAAACCCCTAAATGAAATCACCATCCATCCACTTCCTAATCCGAGTTTGATACCAGCATGCTTTCCCTTGTCTGACTTTTAGAAATATTTTTCTATTGAAATGCAGAGCCTGGCTTCATGCCCGGGGAAGGACAGCTAAAAATAATCCTCCGTGGGTGATTTAGGAAGGTCCCTTTCCCACTGGCCCCCCTCAGACCCCGCTCGCAGCCCATCGCTGGGATTAACCAGCCAGAATGTCGGAGCGATCTCAGACAGATGACAACGTCCCTTCAGGATCCTGCTCTTCATTCTGCTGCTCGAGGTATTAAAACAAAGAGGAGGGATGAGGGAAGGCGTCTCTCCAGCGCTGGAGCAGTTTTTTTCCCGCGCTGGGTGACAGATGAGGGCGGCACGGTGCGAAGTGCCACGGTGGCAGCAGGGGACCAAGGAACAGATGGGGCTCGGCTGAGAGGGGGACATAAAGGTTTTGCTCTGAGAATTTCAATATTTAAACTATTTGTGGCCAAAGCTGCATCCCGGACACCACACCAAAACCTGGAAAGCATTGTCCAAAACAACCCCCGAATTTATTTGTCAAGGCACAAAAATCCCCTTCAGAGTCTGGATTTTAAATAATGACAAAAACCAGCAAAAGAGCCATCGAGGGGCACCGTGGGGACTTCTCCACCCACTAGAGCGGGACCAGGGACATGCCTGTTCCCCCTGGCAGCTTGGGTGCCCCCATGCACCCTGCAGGTACCCAGCAGCAGAGGGAGGACCCCCAGCACACGCATAGGGACAAAGATCCCTGATCCCACGTGAAACACGAGGGCTTGACCCCACGTACCCGCCAGGTTCGTCCTCACCAGTGCTTTAGCCCCCAAAGCATCGGCTTTGTCACCACAGGGAGGACAAGAGGGCAACACCTGGCCAGCAGGTCCCCCCCAAGCCCTGCCTTTTGACACACCCCCCACTCCCCAAAAAAATCCCCCAGGTTAAATCAAGGCAGGGGATAACCACCCCAATGGGATTTTGCATTTAAGGCAAAAATAAAAGTCCAGCGGGAAGCACAGTGGTGCAACGTGAAAAAATAATCGTCCCCATACATCCCTGGGATGGTGCATCCACTGGGGCTGAAAGCACCAGCTCTGTCCCCCGTGCCTGGGGGTCCCACAGGTCCTATCCATCTTCCCAGAGCCTCCGGGGCTCCATCGGTCACACCCAGGGAACTTGCTGAGCCCATCACCCCTCTGGAGGCCTCTGGGCTTGCAAAGGGCACCGAAATTTGCCCTGGAAGGCACCTGGAAGGCAGCTGGCTCAGCTGTAGCCATGCAGGAGCAGGCACAGAGGGTGCTGGGGGGAAAAGTCAACCCCAGTTGCTCTCAGCCTCACGTGCGGACGGACAGGAAAGACCCTCTACCCCCTGCACACCGTCCCCACGAAGGATGCACCGGTCTTCAGGGCTCGCTGGGGATAAAGAGACACAACCTCTCTCCAGCCCCAGGGCACCCCGAAGACGTGGCAGGGGAGGGAGGAGGGTGACAGGCCCCAGCAGTAGGTCTGTGCCCTCCCCAGGCGACCTGGAGCTTGGCCTCACTGGGGACATCTCGGCTGGTCCAGGGCACAGGGCGCTGCTTGGGGGTGTCCCAGCTCCCGTCAATCAATTTCTTGCTCGTTATCTGGGAAGGAAAAAAAAAGACTAAATAAAAACTGTCAAAGACACTAAAATAGAATAATAATTCACAGGTCCGAATTAATGAGTTAATCTGGTTGCCAGCAGCTCTGGGCTCTCCTTGCCCTGGAAAACTGGGATCCCCACTCCCAGGGCTGACGCCAGGCTCAGGCAAACATGACCAGCCACACGTAGGTGGTTTTTTATCCCTCCATCCATCATCCTGGCTAGAAACTGCTCCACAGCCAGCAAATCCTGGGAGATGTTATTATTCAAGCTTCATTTCTGCCCAAAAAGGGGTCGAGGAGCAAGCAGGAGATGTCTCGCATGTGGGGTTAAGCAAACAGGCTGCATCGGGGATGAAAAGCCAAGGGCTGGGAAGCGGAGCGCTGTCTGCGGCAGCTTGCGAGGGGGAGATAAGGGCAGGGAGGAGGCAAAAAAAAAAAAAAAAAGGAGGAAAAGCAGAGTTGGTTGATGCTTCACTGAAGGTGTGAAGGGGAAGAGAGAAAAGGCTTTCATAAACCTACTGGGGTGTGGGGGGGAAATGGCATTAGAGAAAAAACAGGGCTGTTAAAAAAAGAAGGGAGGGTTAAATTAGCAGTGATTCACCAGCAGCAGAGGCCAAGCTTCTGCCTTTAATAAGAAAGGAAATAAATTAAAAGATTGAGATCTTGGGAGGAGGATGAGTCGGGGAGGAGCGGGGCTGACGAGGCATGGAAAATCCTGGAGCCCATCGCTGGGCTGGGCTGGGTGACGGGCTGCTGGCAGCACCGAGCCGGGAGGTTGGGAGAAGATACTGAAAGGCAGAAACAGGAGCTGGGACCCCCAATTTTCATTAATTTCCACCAGAAATTCAGCACCAGGCTGCTGCTGGGGAATTCTGCATGGGGAGGGATGAAGTTCATGCCTCCCTCTCTGCAAGGTGAGGACCAACCACAGCAATTCCCCCCTCTTAGCAAACCGATGGCAACACTCAAAAAAAGACCCAAATTCCTCGCAATGATGTGGGTTGGTGGCAGGAGGCTCTTCTCAACCCCAAGGTGTCCAAGAAAAGGAAGGATAAGAGAAGAAACACCATGTCGAAGCCACCAGCCGCATTGCTCCATCACTGCTGAGAGATACAAGCAGCAGCCAGAGCAAGCGCAGCCCAAATTGGAGTGGAAATGGGTGCTAGGAAATAATTGATGTGGAAAAATTTGATTGAAAACTGGTGAAAAAAATGAAAAAAATTGAAAAAAATGGAGGAAAAAACCCAAACAAAACCCAATGATAGATGATTGAGAGGCCATAGATGCTTTACACTTAGATCTGAGCATCATCTCAAGTGTGCTTAGGAAGAAACGTTCATCAGGAGCCAGCTCATGGTCCTACGCCATTGCCTGGCAAATGCACTCACCGTCTTTGCTCTCCGCGCTCTTCAGCAGCTGCAGAGCTGCAAAAAGCAAAGCAGCACACGGTCAGTCCCCACTGTGCGGGATGGGGGGGCTTGCAAGGGAATGCCTCCCTGGAGGAAACAGCTAAGAGCCCCATTTTGGGGAACCCACCCCAATAACTGCATCCACTCATTTCCATCGCAAACTAAGCCCCAGTCCCTAAACCTCCCCGGCAGCGAAGGAGCCAGCATTCCAAGTGGGCCTGCTCCTGCACCAGCAGATAAAGGCAATCGCTGGGCATATAATTAACCCGTTGGATGACAGCAGAGCACCACGAGTGCTATTCTATTAAGAGAGAGAGTGGCCTATCGGGGAGCTGCCAGCCTGAGCAGACAAAGAGCAGGCAAGCACAAGGGTGCTGAGCACCAACGGAGGGTGCAAAGCACACCAGGGTGTTTGCTTGTGTAGGGGACAGTGGCATGAGCACACACTATAATGCACTCACATACATAATAAGCAAGCATCCTGCACCCACCTGTCTTGGGTTCTTCCCCCTCCTCATCCTGCTCTTCCGTCCCTGCAAAAGAGCAAGCCAGAGCGCATGAAGCATCTGCTGGACTCCACCCCAGCACCCACCCTGAACCCCACCTCCCCGGGCCGCCGGGTTTGGCGGGGGGCCACCCAGATACCGGACTTTTTGGTGCCACCGCAGATCCCAGGGTCTGCTCGGGACCAGCGACTGCCGAGCCGCTGGTGATGCTCAGCGGGCAGGTAACTGGTACCCACCTGCAGGCAGCACCCCCCCCCAGCGTGCTGCAGGGGGATTTCCCCCAGCACAAGGCTGTGCCAGGGTGGCACATCCTCTGCAAGCAAAGCAGAAAAAGCCACGGCTCCAGGCGACACAGCACAGCCGCTTGCCTTCCTATTTATAGCACAGCCGCCATCTGGAGCGGCGCTCAGCGAGGGGCTTAGCAGGGAGACCACAGATCCCCCAACACCTCCGGGACACCCCATCGGCACCAAGGGATAAGCATCCCCTTCTCCCTCCTGCGGGACCCACCCAGGCTGCCACCCTGTCTTGGAGCCTGGGAGCTTTGCACCCCACAGGTAAGACCTGCTACGATGCTGTTCCCAGCCAGAAAGACCAGCAAAAATCGCTGTTCCTGCCACCGGTGGCTGCCAGGCTCACGGGCAGGGTTCCTGTCTGGTTTTAGGATGACCAAGAGCCACAGCAAAAGGTCATTGCTAAGGGTGTGCGGCCATCGGTGCAGAACATCGCAGGCCGTGTCCTGATGCTAAAGGACTGAGGTCAGCTGGCCCGGGGCCACGGCTGAGCATCACAGCACTGCAAATCCCCTGGCCGAGGAGAAAATACTCTGTTACAGAGGGGGGGTAAAAAAAAAGTATTTTTTAATATATACTGCAGATGATCTCCTGGGATCTGCCAAGGGAAAACCCTCTCGGTGCCCACCTCTGGGGACACCTGACAGCCAGACATTGTGGTGGCACTGGCACGGACATCCTCCACAGGAGAGAGAGGAATGAAGCAGGAGCCCCCGGGGAGGGAGGCTGCAGGTCCCAGCCCTGCAGCATGATGCTGGCAGGGAAAGGCTTTGGCAGAGCGAATGCCTCGAGAGGCAGTGAGAGAAAACAAATGGGGAACGCCAGCAAAGCTGCTTCTGCAGCCATTTTTGGAGCACAGCAGCTTTTTTAAAGCAACAAAGCCCCCCTTTTTGTGCAAACAGCTCTCCATAATGGAAAAAAAAAAAGAAACCAAGCAGAAGGATGCAGAAAACAAGGGCACAGAGCGTCTCTCTCATGCTATTTCCGCATGTCAAAGTGCTTAGCATTTCCATGCTAGCAAATGCTAGAGCACCTTCTCGGAGGAGGTGCTCCACACACGCCCAGTTGTGGGTAACCAGACATGTGGAGGATGCTTGGAGCAGGAAGGAGAAAGGAGGGGACACGCTGGGTGGCAGGACAATCAGGGGTATGTTTGAAAGAAATGCTTGGAGCAGTGCAGGCAGCCAGCACGGGCTCTCCGGCATGGATCTGCTGCTGCCTGCCAACCCCAGCAGCTCCAAGCATCCCCTCATCCTTTAAAAGATGCCACCACCAAGGCAAACCCATGCCAGTGAAAATTTGACCCATCTCCCCCCATACATCACCCTCCATCCACCCATCAGCCTCCATCACCCACCAAATCCAGTCCCTTTTTAGCAGGGGGTACCTGCCACATTACCTGCATTTTCCTCCTCTTCCTCACAGCTCTGGCGGATTTTCTTCTGGCACACATACGCCAGGACAGCAAGCAGCCCCACGACGCAGATGGCGAGGCCCACCGTCACCCAGAGAGCCACGGCGGGGAAGGCGAGGTGTTGGCCTTGCAGGGGGAGGAAAGAGATATACCACCACGGTGAGCATTGCTGCCTGAACAGGGGTACACGTGCCTGGCACCCAGGACCCTGTGGTGGAAGAGGCATGTCCCCATGGAGGGAGTTGGTGGCACAAAGGGCGGCTTTGGAAGTAAAACCACCAGTGCCTTTAATTATGGCCTCCCCCAGCAGGTCTGGATCCAGCCAGGGAAGCAGCAGGTTAAGTAACTCCCTAAAATACATCGTTAACCTTCAAATAATTGCACTAATAAATTCAAACAGCAGGCTGACCCTTCCCTTGCTAAGAAGCTCAAAAGCAGCATTAGATGATGATGCTGCAACCACTCCCTTTCCCCTCTCATATCATACCATGGGGCCGGGAAGGATGGGGACACCTTCCCCAGGGTCTGGGATGGCCTGGCTTGTGGAATACCTCCAGGAGCCAATTTTTTGCCCCATAACATTGCTCCTTCTTCAAATAGTCTTGCCTCAAACCCTGCCCTCCACAGGCGTCACCCCAAGGCCGATCATTTCCTCAGGCACTTGAGAGCACATGCAAAAGCCACCTCTCTATCCCCAACCAGCAGCATCCGCACAAGCTTTCCTGCAAGAGTTGGGTGCATCCAGCCAGAAAGCTTATTCTCCACCAGGGACCACTTTCCCAACCCAGCAAGTGCCTAACCAAGGCTAATTAAACACTAATTCATGCTACTGGGGAGCACACAAGGTTAGAAAGAGCTCCAGGAAGGCAGCGGGAGGAGCCCAAGGCAAGGCGGTGAGGCTGAACGTGCTTGATGAACTCCTCCAGCCTGCATCTCTGAAGCAGGATTGTTGCAGCTGGGATGGAGAACCCCAAGTCAAGAGCGTCCCATGGCCGTGTGCTAAGCAGAAGACAACTACCATGCCCTGTGCTGGCTTACTGGGGTAGTTCAGACTGAGATGGGGCAACTAGCAAAGCTAGAGGTTAAGAACTAAGGATGCTGGTTCTAGCTGGGACACTGGCGTGGGGTGACAGGGGAGGACAGCACAGCCTCAGGTCACTCTTCTAGGTCCATGGGGAGAGAGGTAGGGCAGAGATACAGGGTAGGAACCCCCAGGGTGGCTCGGGGCCACAGTAGGGATCCCAGTGCTACCACAACTACCTTCTTTAGATAGAGCCCATCCCTTCCTTTGCAGGTAGATTTAGGCTAGATACAAGAAATTTTTTACAATGAAGGTGGTGAAACACTGCCACAGGCTGCCCAGAGAGGTGGTAGAAGCCCCATCCCTGGAAACATTCAAGGTCAAGTTGGACAGGGCTCTGAGCAACCTGATCTTGTAGAAGATGACCCTGCTCACTGCAGAGGGGTTGGACTAGATGACCTTTAAGGGTCCCTTCCAACCCAAACCATTCCATGATTCTATGGTTCCTTCACCCAAGTTTGGCCCCCACTGGCTCACCTGTGATGGTGACAGAAGCTTGGGTCTCCTGCTGCAGCACTGGGTTTCGCACCAGGCAGGAGTAGGTGCTGCTGGGCTCCACCAGTACCTGGAGGACACTGTGCACGTCAAAGAGACCTTCCTCATTGGCCACCTGGGACGTAGTGACATTTTCTGTGATGTTGCTGCCCTGGCTGTCCTGCCAGAGGACATTGGCCTCAGGGTAGCCACGGGAAGCATGGCAAGTCACGGCTGCCAGATCTCCTGGCTTCAAGTCCTTGTTGGGCTCCAGGTTCATACTGGGCTTGGAGTAGGGAGCTGCAAGGGAGAGGACAGCCAGCATGACACGATGGACAAGACCAAAGGATCAGGATCTGGAGCAACTCAATGAGATAGAGCAAGCCCCAGGACAGACTCTTCCAGCTGATAGGACCAGCCAGATGAAGCCTCCCCAGCTTTGGATCATTTACAACCATGCTTCCAGATGGCCTCTCAATCAAGAATCTCTCCATCACAGCAGGGAAGGGACCGCACCCCTCACCAGCAGTATTCTGGGGAGATGCATCTGATTGGTCTCTAACAGAGACCTGACTTCATGGGGTGACCACGGCACACGTGGAGAGACAAAGAGGTTCCACTGAGGAGCAAAGCATGATGGACAACCCTTGTTTTTGGGGAGACACGTAGGGAGACCCTAACTCTCCATCTCTCACCTGCCACCTGCAACGTCACAGCTGCACTGTTGTAGTCCCGGACCCGAACAAAGCAGGTGAAGCTGCCCTCATCTGAGATCTCCACACGTCGGAGGAGCAGCGAGACGTTGCCCTGAGCCAGCTGGTCGTAGAAAAGGGCCGTACGGTTGGCGTAGCCCCCACCCTGATCTGCCAGTTGGTCCTGACCACCAGAGAAGCTGTGGACCAAGCGCTTGGTGTCCGTCAGCTGCCAGATGAGGCTCAGGTCGTTGAGGCTGAAGTTGACTTCAGGGGAGAAGGAGCAGTGCAGGGTGGCATCTCGGCCGAAAAGAGCCACCACAGGCTCATCTGGGACCGTGATCTCCATGGCACCTGCGGGAGGGTGGTGAGGGCAAAAACATGTGGTGGTGAGACCCTACAGAAGCGCCTCCTTAATTCTCCATCTGGATAACATCTAAGCAGATTGAGAGATGGTGGCACCTCAGGACCCTCCTCTGCACCGACCCCCAGGCAAGCCCATCCTGTCGGCAGGGAGACAGTCCCACACCCAGCACCAAACCTGGGGTGCCACCACCTTCAGCTTCCAGCTGCTGCAGCCACGGGCACCCAAATCTGCACCCCCCTGGGACACACAGCCTGGTTTCTCCCCACAGGGAGAGTAGGTCAGTAAGTGACAGCAGTGGGGACACAGCCCTGTGTCCCCAGGACAAGACAGCCCCAGGCAGTGCTGTGGCCAGGCTGGCAGGCACTAGATGGCATCAGTGCTCCAGCATGATGCCAACCAGCATGCCACAGCATGCCAACCTCATCCCAGTGCCACAGCATGATGCCAAAGCAGGACACCAACCCCACCACTGTGTCAAGAAGCAATGCCAACCATGCCAGGGCTGCCAGACCCTACATGCTCAGAGATGGGCCTGGGGTGTCCACTGGCAGTGAGCAATGTCCCCCAAAGCAGACCTAGGGCATCATCAGCGCTTCATTCCCCAACCAGCAGCACCCACATGAGTTTTCCTGCGAGACTTTGGTGCATCCAGCCAGAAAGTTTATGCTCCACCAGGGACCACTTTCCCAACCCAGCAAGTGCCTAACCAAGGCTAATTAAACACTAATTCATGCTACTGGGGAGCACACAAGGTTAGAAAGAGCTCCAGGAAGGCAGCGGGAGGAGCCCAAGGCAAGGCGGTGAGGCTGAACGTGCTTGATGAACTCCTCCAGCCTGCATCTCTGAAGCAGGATTGTTGCAGCTGGGATGGAGAACCCCAAGTCAAGAGCGTCCCATGGCCGTGTGCTAAGCAGAAGACAACTACCATGCCCTGTACTGGCTTGCTGGGGTGGTTTAGACTGTGATGGGGCAACTAGCAAAGCTAGAGGTTAAGAACTAAGGATGCTGGTTCTAGCTGGGACACTGGTGTGGAGTGACAGGGGACGACAGCACAGCCTCAAGTCCTCTTCTAGGTCTATGAAGACAGTGGTAGAGCAGAGATATGGGGTGGCTTTGGACCACAGTAGGGATTCCAGTGCTACCATGGTTACCTTCTTCAGACAGAGCCCATCCCTTCTTTCCCCCAATTCTGGCCCTCACTGGCTCACTCGTGATAGTGACAGAAGCTTGGATCTCCTGCTGCAGCACTGGGTTTCGCACCAGGCAGGAGTAGGTGCTGCTGGGCTCCACCAGTACCTGGAGGACACTGTGCACGTCAAAGAGACCTTCCTCATTGGCCACCTGGGACGTAGTGACATTTTCTGTGATGTTGCTGCCCTGGCTGTCCTGCCAGAGGACATTGGCCTCAGGGTAGCCACGGGAAGCATGGCAAGTCACGGCTGCCAGATCTCCTGGCTTCAAGTCCTTGTTGGGCTCCTGGTCATACTGGTCTTGGAGTAGGGAGCTGCAAGGGAGAGGACAGCCAGCATGACACAATGGACAAGAACAAAGGATCGGGATCTGGAGCAACCCAATGAGATAGGGCAAGCTCCAGGACAGACTCTTCCAGCCAATAAGACCAGCCAGATGAAGCACTTGGTGTCCGTCAGCTGCCAGATGAGGCTCAGGTTGTTGAGGCTGAAGTTGGCCTCAGGGGAGAAGAAACAGCGCAGGGTGGCGTCTTGGCCGAAAAGAGCCACCACGGGCTCATCTGGGACCTTGATGTCTGTGGCACCTGCGGGAGTGTGTCAAGGGCAAAAGCTTGTGGTGGTGAGACCCTACAGAAGCGCCTCCTTAATTCTCCATCTGGATACCACCTAAGCAAATCTAGGGATGCCCATTGAAGGGACCCATGGGAAGATGGCATCTCAGGACCCTCCCCAGGACCTATCTTCCAGCAGGGAGACAGTCCCACACCCAGCACCAAA